ACATAACAACAACAACAACAGTCCCAGTACGAAGGGAGCTCTGGTGGCCTAGTGGTAAGAAGCGGCTGTGCTGCAATCCAAAGGCAAGCAGTTTGAACCCACCAGCTGGTCTGTGGGAGAAGGATGAGCAGTCTCTTTCCCTGAGAAAACCCTCTGGAGGGCCCGCAATGCGTCATTTCTGCCTTGATGGCACACAGAGACAGCAGCAACAGTCCCGATGTGAAGGAGCCCTGGTGGCGCATTGAATTGCATGCTGAGCTGCTGACTGATAGGTCAGCACTGCAAATTCACCAGCTGCTCCGTGGGAGCAATTCAGCCTCCTCTGTGACTATTTACAGAGGAGACCTGATGATGTGTCACCATGAGTCAGAACTGACTTAATGGCAGTGCGTGGGAATCCCAGTGTGAGAGAGCCCGGTGACACAATGATTAAAGCACCTGGCCGGGAACAGAAAGGTTGTAGCTCAAATCAGCCAGCTGCCTGTGAAGAGAAAGACCTGGGCGTCTCCTTGTGTAAAGACGCAGAGCCTGGGAAACCCTCTGGGGCAGTTCTGCTCTGACCTGCAGGGCTGCTGTGAGCTGAAATCATGGCAATGGGTTAGGGCTTTTTCCCATTTCAAAGGCCCACTCTGGTGTGATGAAAGTTGAAGATAAATTTAATCCTGCAAGCCACCTACTAAGCCTACTATTGATATATAGGAACTCAAAATGGTTAGAGATGCGTTATTAGAACAGACTCTCCTCGAGAGAGCTCACTGCCAGCTGGCTTGCCAAGACCGCTATCCGTCCATCTCCCCTCCTCAGAGCCTCTCTCGGAGCGTTGTTAGTGGTGTATTACCTCTGCCATAGCCTCGGCCCAGCAAACAAGCAGGGTGTGTAGGGAAGTCAGAGTGTGGGACTCGGGAACTGTGTCCTGAATATGTTCTGGCTGTTTCCTGTTCTGACCACAAACCTTTCCTCCTTTTCTTCTGTGCCTTCAGGCAGCCTGACTGAGATGAGATTGTGTTCCAGAGGAGCTGCAGCACAACGTCTGGTTTGACATCTCAAGAAATGTGTGGATTCTCAATGCATGCGTGACCATCTGGCTAAGCCTTTCTATATAAGAAAAACATTGAGAAAACTGGAATCCTTTGGCAGACCCTCACATTTCTCTTTCCCTTCCCGCATTTACATTCCTTTCCCCTGGATTGTCTGTGGCAGAACGGAATTAAACTCTCTATAAGGCAGATGCTGGAAAGAGATGCTGACTGACGTTGACTTGCTCTCTCCCTCTGTGGGCTTTCCCTTGTAAGGGGGTTGACAGGATGCACATTCCTCACAAGACACATAATATATGTAGATGATTAAAGACAGAATGAGCCATCTGCAGGACCAGATTGACACTGGAAAAACTGGAGCATAGTCATGTTAAACTCCTGGGGGCAAAAAAAAAAAGAAAAGTAAAATAACTCTTACATTTGTTTTCATTCTTAGAACAACTAAAAGATACAAAGAGTTCTGGTGGCCTAATTGGTAGGGATGATAGAAGGAGAATTGATGCCTTTGAGC